GTATTTAAATTATTTTTCACATCTGGTAGATAGATATATCTAAATATAATGCACAAAGTAATATATGAGTAAAATCTAATACTCGTAATATTAATACTATTTATCATTATTAAATGTGCTCTTGCAAAGGAGCATTCTACCGGTTCATCCCATACATTAACACACACCGATATAAATTTGATTAACATTTTCATTCCATTTAGAATGATTATGCTAAATTTGAAAGGAAATACCAAACGTATTAGTCTCAGATTATGTAAATTAGAGTATCTTGAAGTGGTTATTTATTCTTGTACTAAAACTCAAATTACTGCAATTTAATTTCTTTACTTTTCTAATCAGGCATTTACCCCTCTTGAGTTGGTGCCTCGGGTGAAAACCTGGGCCGGCGCTGCTCATAGACAAGCTAGGCGATCGCCTAGGGCGCAAACCTCAAAGGGACGAAATTTTGATTCATTTTTATAATTAAAAAAAATTGGATGATTGGTAATTATCATATAATTAATAAAATAATTATTCATTTTGTATGTAGGAAGCCTCGATATGCATAATTTATTATTGTTTCAATAATTATCTAATTTATTTTAGTTTATCATTATTGGCTTTATGTTGATATTCTGGTAATAAATATGTGTGTTAATTATTTCTCAAATCACGTATTTATTATTTGATTTTCATTGGTTACTTTCATTGCTCTGACGATTCTTCTAACACTACGTGTGTCTGTGGCAAGTGAGGAACATAGTTTTCGAAACCCTTATAAAAACATTTTTACGCTTCACAATGTTGAAAGAGACATTCGTTGGTCAAGCAATTATATCTATCGAACATGTTGAAGCATCAGTACTTCATCTTAGTGAATTAGTCAAACAATACGCGAAACAAAAAGCGCACGTTGCAGATCCGGTGGCCGAGATCGCTAAGGCAATAGTGCCATAGCGATCTCGGACCGAAGGATCGCGGGTTTGAGTCCCGCCTGGGACATGGTTGTATTGTGTTCGTCGTTGCACCCCTTAACATCATCATATCGTGTCATCCTCAATGCTGCCATACTGTTACAAGCGATAATGGTTGTTAATGACCTAGAAGTTAATGCGACCTTAAAAAAAAACAAAAAAACACAAGTTACATTTTAATATACTTAATCAAAAGATTTGTACAACGGTTTGTCTCATCATCATTTCATTGGTCATAAAGTTGTAAAGATCATTTGTCTTATGTTTGAAATACAGCTAAATATGTAATTTAAAACAAAAATATATATCCCGCTAAACCGAATCTCGCAAATCAAAATTTCGAAAAATAAAAAAAAAAAAAAACGGGAAGAAGGAAAAATGTGCAAAATAAATAAAATGATTATTTGTAGTGTAAATAAAGGATTTTATAATTACTGTAGAACTTTAAAAATAATCATTGAAACAAGTTTATTGCACTGGTAACTACGGTGTATATCACATGTTTATGTAGCAGTAATTTTGACTTAATGAAACTTGCAAAATCGGTAATATTCTTTTACCAACAGGAATTGAATCTGCTTGATGATGCGATCGCAACGCTACGTTGCATTGTGTCTGGTAATCCTATTGATGTATTTGTATATATAAGGTACATTTTTTTTTCGGGTAATTCGGACTACACCCTCAACTAGTTCGGAATACCGGGGTTCTAATATATATATATTATTACTAGTTATAGTTAATTATATAGAATATATATTATATATTACTTTTAGATATAGCTATGTATACTAGTATATATATATATATTTAGGATGAGTGGTGATTACTATATGAGTAGCTGTTAGGTGAGTTTTACGGGAGAGGGGCCTATTATATATATATATAGTGTTGTTGTGGTGTCGCGCGGCAGCGCCGTGGTGTTTGTGTGTGTGTGTGTGTGTGTGCGCTGTTTGTGTGGTGTGTGTGTGGTGGGGTACTTGGCGCGACGAGCCCGTGGCTCAGGCGTTATCGGCGACGTTCACTGCCTCCCGGCCATGGGTGAAAGGGGATATGTGTGGTTAGCACGTAGACATCCCATCCCCACGTTGTATTCCGGTCTTCACAACCTGAGAAGTGAAATTTCTCATCGTCAAAAACAATATTTCTGAAAATTATTATTATAATTTGAGGGGACGCAAATGAACATAGCGTCGGCCCTATTCCTCGCTGAAGGACACTGACGGGAGGCACACGTCTCGGGTGCAGACGAGAGCTCTGCGCAGGCTGCTCACAGCCCACACCCCGGCCCGGGCGCCCTGCAACAACTCGCAACAGGCGTCCTCATCGTATGGAGGGATGGCATATGGATGTTTATGGACTGTTTGATTTGGCACCTGAAGTTTCCCCATGGGTATTGCTTTGGCATCATTTCACACGTATCTTTTGTGGGCCAGTATCAGCACTCGTGTTCCGTCTTAAGAGCTGATAATCCGAATCATCCGAAGCTTCACGAAATATTAGTAAATAAATGTCATCTGACTGACTACCCTCTCATCATATCTCGCGAATAGTTAAATTTTACGTTTCCTCTTAACACCGTCAGCATCTTACTGTTTTGTATGGTTTCCAGAAGATGGACTGCAATCTAATCTAATCTAAGATTCGCTTATCTAACTCGAGCATTTCAATGTGTTTTACGACCTTTGCTTCCAAGGAACGAGAGGAAAAGATTTACAAATTAAATACTAAAGAAAGTTCTTAAGTATAATATTTCTTTGTGTAATGAATAATGTCAAATATAGATGTAAATGTAGAATTTTTTAAAACATTTATTTCTTAGTTCCTCGTTGAGCCTACCTAAAGTTGTGATAGCATCTGTTTATTCCAATTCCTTATTCGCCACTGTACTACGCCCTGACAACCATCTTTCTAATATGGGCAGTACTCATCCGAACAAATGTAACTTCTTCAATAGCTGCTTTCCTAAATTTTTTTATTAAATAAAAAGTTACTGAAATAAAAAATCATATGCGGAATTAAAAAGAATACTCTAATTTGCTTACTACTCTAGTTATTTACTCTATGATTAGTACAAATTTTCTTCTCTTACAAATTTAGAAAATTTAAGGTGCTACCTCATAAAAAGTAAATTTTTTCCTTTTCAAACATTTTTTTTAAATTAAATTTTCTCCTTTAAGCGTTTTGTAATCAATGAGATTTTTTCTTGTATCCCTGTTAATTCATCAAATCGGTTTCGAGGATGCAATACAGGGAACCCGTGGAGAAGATATCATCTAGGAGATGTAACACTTACGAATACGAATTTTCATATACGGTAAGTTTTTTTACAAGAATTATTAATAACAGAACATATGATACCATGTAGCAATACTAGCCGATCCGGTGGCCGAGATCGCTAAGGCAGTAGTGCCGTCTCGTATCGCGGGTTTGAGTCCCGCCTCGGGCATGGTTGTATTGTGTTCGTCCTTTCACCCCCTATCATCATCATCATCATCATCATCATCATCATATCAGGGAAGGCAACGGGAAACCACCCTGAATAATTTATCCCAAGAAAACCCGTTATGGGTCACTTAACTTCCGTATATGGAGGATAGGACCAAAGAAGAAGCAATACTAGCTTATTAATCCATCAATTATTAAGAGAACAATTTCTACAATTCACAACCGTAGAAAGTTTTTCGGATAATATCATTTTTTTTATTTTCTCGTATACGAAGTATAGAAAAAGGTATGAAATTCTGTTTATAAAAAAAAAAAAAAAAAAAAAATCGATGTCAAGATTTTGACTGAAATACACGTTTTAGTATTTACTGGTTCCGAAGAAGCGTTTTTTTTCTTTTAAAATGTCTGCCCGTTGTCTGTGAACAACATTAGCGCGAGAGAACACTATTACGAGATTTTCACCAAAACGAATATTCACTATTCCATCTGACTGATGTCACGGACTTTCGAATTTGAAACATCTGTTAATGATGGGCGGGAGATACTTTACTTGAAATTCTTAGGATATTTTCCAAATTCTGTGAAAAAGGCTCCATTTTGGCTGAAATTGAGCAAAGTACTATGTGTATAAAAATGAACCGGGTCTAGTATTCAATAAAATCTTTGAAATTTTGAAAATTGAGAAAGTTAACTTTTTTTCACCCCTCCTACAACTACATTATTGAAGATATTTTTGTCATGAAATCTGTGTTACAAAATTGTCTTTAAATTATTTCACATTGATTTTTTTTAGAAATAGAAATAGTTGTCGCGTAAGTTTGAGAGAAATCGTGACAAACCTAAAATGTAACAATACGCAAACAAGATTTTTATTAAAAGTCTCCGAATTTTTCCTATGTTTTTTCTAATGTAGCAAAGTTTACTTGATGTAGTGACATTAGCCCGATTTCGATTTCAACCTATAAAATTTCGAAAATCGCAAAAGATACACTTTTGGAGTTGGGAGCTTTTTTACACTTAGCCCTCATTGGCGGTGCAAAGGATAAGGCAATAGCGCTCAATTTCGAATCCCAGTCCTGGCAAATACTTTTTGCGAGTTGGAAACATTTTTGCGGGTTCCCGTTAAAGTAATACGGAAGCGTAGGTGATATTGTAATATTAAAATCGCTGGCTCGAGTTGTGTCAGTATTACCGCTCATGAACGAAATACTCGTATATACTAGTTTGGGTTCGGACCGTTTTTCTACGTGCGGCGCTGAAACTCGTGGAGCTGATCTGTGCCCGAAGTGGCCCGAAGCCCTGAACAACGGGCGGAGGGAGAGATCTGCTTGCTCTCGCTGCTAGGTGGTGGTGCCGGTGGCGGAGGCAGGGAGGGGAGGGGGGCGAAGACGCGGAGGCGACCGCCATAGGCCGCCGGACCACGGTGCAGCGAGGAGGAAGGAGGGGGAGCGCTCGGCTACAGAATTGTTCAAGGCTAGCGTCCGCTTCGCGTCCCCAGATTCAGTTGAAGGAAGCAGCGCTGCGCGTGGCGCTAAGCTTTAATGCATGCGCTTTTAAACTCCTCAATTGTTTCGCCCGCGGGACACTACGTTGTGATCTAGTGACTCGTCTGTTTATATTCGCGTAACTAGTGTGGCATTTATTTAAATGACAGTTTTTAAAAAGTGGACCGTGCACAACAATGTTCAGATTACAATGGTGTGTTTATAGAATGCGGTAACTGACGACAACAGCCGGGCATCTTTATTGGTGTGTAGAAAATTATATTTATTTACTTTAAAATAATTAATAACATCTGATAATATTTAAAAGTTAACAAGAGCATCATTAACAAAGGCCATTTACTCAACAATTTTCCCCAATCAACTCGTTTGCTTATTTCTATTTTTTCTTCTGTACTGTCATCTCATTTTTTTTTAATTTAAGAAAATAATCGCATGAAAATTGTTATTTGGTATTGTGGCTGTCAAAGATTAATGTGTCATTCGTTATGCTTATGTTTACATCTCATATAACCCCATTTGTGCAAGGATTCCTAGACTAAACGGTGAATAGTATATTGATACCGCGAAAATATTATTTAATCTCATTGTATCAATGAGATTCGAATCCCTCTATTTTATGGTACGTAATAACAAGTTACAGATTTTTCTTTATATGAATTTGCCCGATTTGTGCATGGTGTATTTTCTTTTGTGATCGTACCATTCTTACGTTTCTTTTCATCCTTTGCAGACTCCTTGATTTTCATTTGTAATCAGAAATGTTAAATGAGAATAAACAATTAAAACTTTTCACTTCCAAGTTCTACCTGACGGTACAAATTTATTATGATTTCTGGATGGAGCACCATTTATTCGGTGCAATGTTTACATTCATTGAAATGATATATTATTTTGTGTTCTAACAAATTTGATGTATTCTTGAATTTCCCGGTAAATCTATTTATTATATAAACAATCATTCCGTTTGTTGAAAAGTACCATGTACATGAGAGTTTAATTGAAACAAGTGACAGGATGTTTAAATAAAATGAAAATTATACAATACGTCAAGCGTTGAGCAGGTAGTTGGTTTCGAGACATTTAATTACGACAGATATGTTTGACATATCGTACCGCGTGCGTTCGCTTATTTTAATCGCGTCGTCCTCCACTCTTGTTTTTTGTTTTGTTGTGCTTCTTACACCTAGTAGGAAGTCGCACTCACCTGTCGGTCATCAGAATATCGATGTACATTCGTTTTGAAAATAATATCCTAAAACCTATTGAATTACCCTTGATATTGTTGTAAATTACAAGTAAATATGAAATAATTCCAGTTGTTTATAAAACGCACACACAGTCTTTTCTGTAGACTTACACCTTCAATATTGAATATTTCTCAAAAGACATAAGAAATTTTAGTATTTGGTTGCGCTGTTATTTTGAACATTACACACATGTATGCATGTATGCGTAGTGTTCCACGGGCGTATGCGTGTATGGGTTCAATAGTAATGCTTCGCTCTTGCCACCATGAACTATTTAGATTGAGGTGTATGGACATCTGATATTGACAGGAGTTTTCTCACATGAAAAAGTACATACTTTTAGATTATGTGATTTATATCTTTCTGTATCAGTTTTGAAGGAAAATATACTTTTATTCTTACTATTTTCAGTAAAAAATCTTTTTAGATTGTTTTAAAAATAATTTTGACTGTTGAATCAGTCTTTCATAATGGTCTTTGAACCTTCAATGTAATAAAAAAATATCGCTTAAAAGAAATCATTTTCAGAACTTAGCTTAGAATGAAAGCAGTATTACAAACCAACAAGAAACGAATTTCAAAATAATTTGTTTACTGTCCTTGAATGTTTTTATCAAATTTATTCTTACAGTCGATTGAACGAATGTCGTTTTGATTCAGAACATTCACACTGTACGCTTGTTGGATAGACCGGATCAAATATTAATGATCGCATATCCGTGTTGGTGACAAAACGTAGTTTTTTCTTCGATAGTCTAATTTAACCATTATATTCGTTCTGTCAAGAAGCCGTTAAGTGGATTTAATAGCCACTCAAATGTATTCTGGGGACAATTCTTATCTCATCGAACACGTGAGTACAGACACCTTCTTGCAATGAATGTTTGTGCCGGGCTCCTCGACTATTTACGGTACTGATTTTCGCGTTCTCTCGCCTTCACTCCCCGATCGTAATTCCGGAACGGCGACTTCGGGAGCCGTAACTTTGAGTTGTTGGAAGGGATCTGAAGTGAAAATCACATCGCACACTTAATTTGGTCCTTTATTAGGGCGATTTTGTTCACCAGATGTTGCGTCGCCTTTCGTCTGCAGAGTAATAGCTGCGTGACCGGTTGTAGGCTCCTGTGGCCTGGCTGCGGTGTTGCAACGCCGGCGCGCCGGGCTGGGCCGGGCTGGGCCGCGCCGGCGCTCCGCTCTGCTCCTCCGCTCCTGGAGGTCCCCTAGGTCTCGGAGGAGGGCCCCCCCAATGTTGGCAGGAATAAAAATTTCCTCTTTCCAATCCTTCCTTAGTGTGCAAACAGCGAATGGTTGGAGGACTGCCAGCACTGCTGGAGCTATTGTTATCTCAGCCAAATCAGCTGTATTTTTGTATTCTTCTCGCATACATTTGTATTTTTTAACTACGTACCCATTTTATGAGTTGGTACTTTAATAAAAAATAGTTTAAGATTTTTGACAAAAGTAAACGCTTTATTCAGTCGTTCGTTCCCCTCAGGTGTGGAAAGAGGTTTCTTGCGCAGAGGTTGCTGGCCGGCTATTATGTCATGAGTTACGGCGACTCCGCGGAGGAACAGCTCGGGCTCTGGTGATGAACCTTTCATCGCATAATTTAAACAATTTCAGTATTGATGCAGTGGTGTATTTGAATCATTTAAGTTAAGAGGATTCCTTTGTGAAATTTTACGAGCGATTCTACGAAGCGTTTTAGATGTCTCAGGGTGACTGTGGAGAAACCGCGAAACAAAAACAACCCACGGCGTTCTTCTGTTCCAAGAACTCGTTATTTTATTTTCTCACATAGGAAAAGTTGAGTAGGTACTTGGGAAATTTTTTTAACTTTCTTACCAACATGTACCATAAGTCCGTTATTGGAGTTAAAATATATAATTTTTGTCTTCTATTCGTTCATCTTTGTATCTTATATTTGGATGTAATATTGATGCGAATGCTAGGAAGATAAATGTTCTATGCCCTCCCTTCTAACGCTTTTTCAACCATTGTAATTTTCTTTACGATTCTCGTCTGTCGTTTGTTACTTTTTCCGCCTCTTTTGTAGAATGTTTCTTTTTAACGTACGAGAATATGTATTTTACATTAAAAAAATTATATTCATGTGTCCCCATCTGCCCATTATGTCTTAACATGTAAACATCATGTTGCTATCATAAAAATAAAAACTTGAATTTTAAATAAGGTGTGAACGAAAAATCACTTTTGTTTCTTTTAGCAAAAGTTAAATGCCTGAAGTGCCGACCTGCAGAGGCACAGACTAGACTATTTTTGTTGCGACTTTTAAATGTCCATTTAAAAAACTGCTAGGCAGCGGTCGCTGCATGGGCCTC